GAAAAAGTAAACAACTCAAAAATTTCCTAAAAAGGAAATTTTCAAGCATAGAAAAGGGAGTGGGAAAGAGTTTTTTTAGGATTATATTTGTTAAATCTGATATTTAACTTTTTCTAATAAAAAAAAACATATATCATGCTGTAGATTTATAAATCTTGTACTGCAAGTCTAAAAGTCTAAATAAAAATAAACCATGAGGACCACCTGTTCCTTTAAAAAAAAAAAAAAATTATTGTATATAACTTGTATCAAATATTAAAATTTAAAAATAAAAATAATAAAAATCTTTTTAAACAATTTTATATTATAAATTCAAAAAATCGATTATTTATTAAATTTCTTTAATAATTTAGTTATGTAAATAAATACATGTCATAAATAAAAAACTATCTTTAAAATAAAAATTTTAACTTGCATAATTATAAAATACACTGTATATAAAATTTTAATTTTTATATATGCCTAAAATTAAAGTTCAATAATAATGTGATCAGAGGGCGATCCTATTGTAAAAGGTCAATTTAACAAATTATCAGATAATAATACTTCAAAGTTTGGTAGTATGATGCATTCACCAACTTTTCTTGGTGATAGTCGTTCAAATTCTCATCGAGCCTATTCCTACAACCTTCGTTCCAGGCAAAGAGTCGCCTATTTCCATAACAAAGATGTCGGAGCCTTTCACTTCGGGGTAAGTTACGCGAGTTTTTTGTGTTCTTTTTAGTGCAAGATTCCTTCTGAACCCATGATATATCCTGTAGCCTCAACACCCGATGAAGCCGGAACGCTTAACTTTGACTAATGACCTGATCATTGGCTATCGTTTACACGAGAAAATGGATGTTTTCTGCCCTCCAAGGGCAACTGACGAAGAATTAATGGAATTCCACCAATCTTCTTACATAAACTTTCTAAAAAAGTATGTTTGGTGAAATCGTTTGTTCTCACGATTTAAAATTCACTTAATGGTTTATATTATTTTATATTATTTTTTCACGTAGGGTCACGCCTGAAAATGCCAAACAATTTTCAGCCGAGGATTTCAATCGGTATAATATTAACGAAGATTGCCCAATATTTTCTGGTTTATATGATTATTGTCAACTTTATGCAGGAGCGTCAGTTGCTGCTGCGGAACGGTTGGCGTCAGGGGCGTCAGACATATGTATAAATTGGAGTGGAGGACTGCATCACGCTAAGCAATTTGAAGCGTCGGGATTCTGTTTTGTCAACGATATTGTTTTAGCGATTCAGCATTTATTGAGGTTAGCTAATGTTTCTTGATATTTGGTTACATAAAACACCTTTTTTAATTGATCCTAATTATCATAAAGGTACTATCCGAGAGTTTTGTATATAGATATCGACATACATCATGGTGATGGAGTGCAAGAGGCGTTTTACCTTACCGATCGAGTGATGACAGTCTCATTTCATAAGTACGACAATGGTAATTATTTCCCGGGAACCGGAGATTTCGATGAGATTGGTACTGGACCAGGAAAATACTTTAGTTTAAACGTTCCGCTCAAGGATGGTATGGACGATGAAAGCTACATCATATTATTTAAAGATATCATAACAGCCGTTAGAGATCGATATCAACCAAGTGCGATCGTTTTACAGTCTGGAGCCGATTCACTTGGCAAAGATAAGTTAGGAGGATTCAATCTTAGTATAAAAGCACATGGAGAATGTGTTAGGTATATAAAGAGTTGGCAAATTCCCTTGCTCGTTCTCGGCGGAGGTGGGTATACGGTGCAAAACGTGGCCAGATGCTGGGCCTACGAGACAAGTATTCTGGTTGACACCGAGGTACCGGAAGAGTTATCGCCGGAGAGAACCAATTTTTACGCGTTATTCGGACCTGATTACTCATTGCACCCACCACTTGTTGGAAAGGTGGAGAATCAAAATACAAGAAGCGATTTACAAAAATTGGCCCAACAAGTTTTAGAACATTTGAAGGCACTGGAAGGTGCACCCAGTGTACAGATGCAAGAAATACCCTCGGAGATGACCAAAGATGCAAAAAACAAAGACGAGGAATTGGCAGATTCTCGCGGGGACGCTAACGCTGATTACAGATACAGACGGAGGTTGATATGGCATGACAATGAATATTTCGATGGAGAAAACGATTACGACAAAGATGATGACAAACAAATGATGGACGAAGAAATTAGCTGAGAGACAGTTTTACCGTGAATAATGGTGTTTGCATAATGCACGCGTACGATAATAATTTGATGACATTTTATTTCTTATGAAAATGATTTTTTAATGTTACGTAAAAAAAATTTTTTTTCGGGAAATAAATAAAGTCACGGAGTCAGTTAGAATACGAGGGGAAGGAACATCATTTTGATCTCTCTCTCGGTTATTAATATTTGAGAGGTTCTGTGCGCATGTGGACATTAACCTTCAGATATTAAATTCAGTCGGGATTTTTTTTGGTAAGCCGTCTTGTTCATTCCTGTCAAAAAAAATGTTGATCAATGACATATCTCAAGCTTTTATCAATTCATTTTAGGGTTTCGAGTGTTTAAAGAAATAATCATTATTTCATAAATCATAAATCATATTATATGTCAACTCAAATCTTGTTTCACAAACCAATCAAATATAGGCTATACATTTTTAATCAATTTTTTTACATGTAATACTAAACATAGTATCATCACACATAACTTGATGGGGAAAGTGAAACACTGATAAAGATATAAAAAAGTTAACATTTTTAATCGGAATTTTTTTTTTGACGTCTGAATAGCGTCAACCGGAAAAATTAAAAAAAGAATCGACATGAGGTAGTAACCTTATTCTTTTACTCACATACGCCGTTATCCCTTAAGCCAACATGAGCTCCAATAATAAACGTATCCCCTTGGAAGACGCCATTATAGTCGGAGGAGAGGCCATTTCCAGGGCTGCTCTGGAATTTGACGTTCGTCTAATTATGGTTGGTTTTAAAACGGTTAGTATTTCTCGTGTTTATTTGACGATCGCATTTTGGCACGCTTTAAAATGGAACACTGCCTAAAATAGCATAGAAAATGCGATTTCACCACCTTCACAAGCGTTTGGTCCCATTATAACTTTTCGTTGATCCACTTTGCTTGCCCTGAGAAGACTGGCCGATCAGTGTTTATGCAAAATCTGTATCAATTATTTATTGGTAAATGTCTTCGATTTTCTATCTACACCACTTCTGCGGTTCCATTATCTCACGATGTCTGATATATTTCGTAGGCTATTATCACACCTCCCGTCTGGTGGAGGTAAAATTGGGTGTTCTTTATGGAATATACCTTCTGTTTTTTACGCAACCAGATAATCTCGAAAAGATCAGAATTCGGATCTCACTCAGCATGTATTCTGGCGTTTTTACTTTGTGAACAAATTTTTCATCATGCTAATTTAAATCATCTCCCTTGGCTCACGTAGAAATGTGGAAATCATTTTCACAACTATACAAGTATTGCCAACAGCACGATCTATTTGATGCCGAGTATATTTATGAACGACTCGTTGCCGAAAGTGCTTTCGAATTGGTCGCGGTAGTAGATCCGTGCGGTGAATACGGGAGGGACAGGCGCAAGAAGAGAGGGTTGATATTACGATTATTATCGCATGTTGTTTGAGCTTCAATTATATAATCCAAATTGCACTTTACAGGATGATCCCAAATTCAATTTCGGAGATCAAGCGAGAGATGACGATGGCACCGATGGTAATGAGTTTGATGAAACCATTGATGAATGAATTCAAAAAAAAACAAATGCTAACCATCTGTTACGGTTTAGGGCGAATTTGAAAACCCGGATTCATTGGATAAGCTTGAACAGATCGCAAACCAATATTACGCAAAGAAACGTAAGATCGCCGATACAGAAGAGGCCAAGGTCGCATCGCGTAAGGTCACTCGTCAAAAGATGAAGTCGAATCCTCCAAGTGACTGTCCACTAGACATCTGGTCGATCGTCGCTCCTTTAAGTGCATCCGACGAAAATATTACCACCATTCTAAGAGACAGGATCGAGCAAATCAAGAACGAACGACACGAATTCTTGACTAAAGATGACAGCGATCAGAATGAAGATACGAATAGTGAAGATGACCAAGAGGTAATTTCTCGTGAATTAAGTTTTTTTAAAGTATCGCGACATTAACTTATTTGAACGAAACCAATAGAATGCGACGGCGTTCCAAATACGAAATAAGATACGATCTCAACCATACAATACGAAGAGAAGGCAATACGTTCCATTTGCCATGCAGGCAACCGTAAGAGCCATGGAAAGAGATGCGGAGGTTCGATCATCTGGTGCTAAAGCACAAGTTAGGGCTTCCAATTCTCTGGATAATGATTCTCCGTATCTATCATAAGTCTTTTGTTATTATTACAGTCACCGAGCTTCAAAGCGTAAAAAAAAAAAAGAATAAATAAATTAAAAAGAGAATATAATATACATTCAGATTCACATTAATTAATGAATAATGGTGTGGGTTGATTCATTCGCTTTTGATCTCATCGACATTTCTCTAGCATTTTCACCAATTTCCATAGGTACGTTTACGTGCATTTATCGTTTTTCTCAATACTACCACCCATGCAAATAACATTGTTTCTGGCTCTAGAAATTTCATAATTTCTCTCATCAAATTATGTAAATCCGTGCTATCCTTCATTGGTCCAATGTAGACGCCTCGAGTCTTACGGGGCGATAACATTCCAGTGTGTATAATTTTCACAATTGGATTAATATCCAATTTTTTTTAATAACAATTGTAAGTCTTTTCTATATATGAATAATTCAATATTTATCATCATAAAAGGTATTGGGAACAGTGACCATTACGTTATTGAAATTCAACTTTAAATAAATATTTCAATTTTTTTTTATTGTGCAAGTATACCAAAGTACATATTCACGAATTCATTACTTAAATCAAAATAATTTGAAGTATATTATCCTAAATCCTATTCTAATTTTGAACGTTTATTCCAGATCAGTTCACTATCAGCGTCATCATTGATGTCGCTATTTTCTTTGGCGTTCTTATAACCGTCATCCGAAACATTCATAGTCAGAGTGTCGACATTGGCTAAAGGAGGACCGTTTGCATTTTTAGATGAGCCAGGAGCATGGGTCGCGTCGTCGAGAGGGTCAATGTCAACCTTCGGTCGCATGTATGAAGGTATAGGGGTGGGGAGTGAGTCATCGGTCACCACATAGGTCGTATGCAGGAGATAACCACCACCACCGCTTGTTGACATTGACGGATGTGTCCGGCCCGGTAACACCTAGACAACGAGAATGATTAATTGATTTTTTTATAAAAAAGTTTTTTTCAAACTTTTCATACCTGATATTGTCTCAACCAACTCTCTGTGATCGAAGGATTCAAATATTTTCGGCATATACGCATTTGAACACAGGTATTTACCAACATCTGGGGTTTCGTAATGATCCCAAAAGGTAGATAAAAGAAATCTCGGTCATTCTTATGCCTATGATCGCATGAGTACATAAATCGTCAATATACACATACCTCCTTGTTGATATGATAAATTATGATTGGTCTTGATCCGTGCAAGTAAGGCATCAGAGTATCCAAGATCGATTCCGGCTGGTACTGGCTAGCTATCAGTAAACTAGAAATGTGGATGATCTATATGTTATTATGAGCTCCTGGTACGATTGAAATAAAGGCAATTACTTTTATACCCATCGAATCCACCCTTAAACAATAATTCTCTTGTTGCTCGTATCCTATCATAATTTGCTTTGCTGCGAAAATAGAATTTTAATTCTTTTTCGGAAAGGCTTGCTTCATCCCGAAAATTAAATGGTTCTTAGTGGTATAAGGAAAATGTTATAAGCAGAAGAAAAATTCATAGGATTTCGAAAGAGTTGAGACTGAACCACCCGGTACCTTGGCACTCCTCTTTGAAAACTTGCTGCCAGGATAGTACCATCAATGAATCAGAAACTTTTTTCGAGAAATTCATGTATCTCGTGACATCAAAGTTGTGATTTTCTCCGTCGTGTATACCGATTACAACACCATAACCTTTCGAATATGAACGTTCGTTATGAATTTGTAAAATGTGATTTTCGATATATGATAATTGACCATCATTATACCTCCTAACCTTTCCATAACACCCGAAATCACGAGTCCTTGGGTGTCATCTACTACCAGCATCTTTGAGTAAGCTTTTACGTTCGCTAAAGTCAACATTTGAGAAAGTGTGTCGATTCGCATGTCCCTGAGTAAGTTAATTCCGACGATAAACAGGTGAGCGACGTGGTTAATTACAAAACTTCAAGCTACCCAACTGACCTTATTTTTGAAGGATTTTTGGCGTAAAAATATTCCCAAACAGAGTATAACGTTGGTTTCACCGGAGTGAAGACGCGCGAGAATCTGTAAGAACAAAAGAATTAAGCGATGCGCGTCACTCGCATGAATCAATGGTTGTATGGGCAATCGCGAATCACCATACTTTGCTTCTTTGCGCTTGATATACTTCGCTTTTGAGTATTCAGTCTTCTTGTCAAAAGTTGAATGACTTTCGACCACCTTCTTGATAATGTCCTAATATGCACGCTCAAGTTATCTTGATCGGCTCACGGAAGAACAATGGATTGAAGACGAAACCTAACCAACCTGCCCTTCCAATCCATCTTTTTTCAATTGTTCAATATCGGCGTAAGATAATTTTTGTTTGGATGGATCGTCAGTTGTTTCTTTGTTGTTCGCGTCAGTTTCGTCTGTTGGATTAAAATGTTAAAATCTGATCCAATGAATATTTTCATCCACGAGTTCTTCCTGAGTATCTCTTACCAATTTCATAAAATGCGATATTACGTATGACCTTTACTTTGTCACGATCATGGATTTCATAAGAATGACCGAAAGGTTTTCCTATTATGTCGTTTGCATGAAAAGTGCCGAATTTTCCCAATGATACCTTTCTATACATCAGTATTGACGAAAACGGTGAATTGATCGTTGTACAATAAGCATTTTCGACAATTCGATCCACAAAACCCGTTGAGAGTAATCGAAGACGTAACCATGAAAGGACATACACACTCACGTATCCTTTTGAAGTTTAATCACTTTGATATTACCACTTGGTAATAGAATAAATATATATTGATTATCGAGGATGTGGAAATCATCCTCTTCTTCTTCCTCTTCCTTGATTATTTCTTCATCCATGTTGTCATTAATTGAGGTTTCGGTTTTGGATTCGTCTGATTGCATTTTCGTTCCCTCTGTCTCCTTACTTGATTCGGAAAGAGTTGAAATATCATCGAATGTCACTATGGCTTCTACATATGCGATTTTCCGCCCAATCAGGATGAATTGCGTAGCATCAACCAATAGAATAACGAATCCATGACCATCATTTGTTTTCATTGTCATTTATGCATCTGTTCGAAGATGATCCCGACTTTAAGTAGGCTAAAGAGGAAACCGATTACTTATCCTGGTGAATGAACGAGGTGGGGATCAATGGAAACTTGGGATTTACAAAAACATCGTGGATGAATTCCTTTTTTGGAGTATGGTTCATTTACACCTAGGCATCTTATTACATCGCTACAACTGATAAACAAATGGCGATTCTGACTATGATGGGAGGAAGAAACTTGTCAATTTTAGATCGGCATCTTCCTGCTATCTGGTGTAACCATGGCAGTATAAATATGATCGATAAGCATGTTTCCCACGAGATTGTGTCTGATACGCGAATGAAAATATGAAGACGGTGGTGAAAGGACAAGTTAAAACCGGACAAAAGGCATCTATGATTGCTGCTTCGTGAAAAGCAGAATAAACTTTCGCGATCGACACTAAAAATACTTATGATAGGTTGACGAAGTTTCGAAGGAGTGGACGCTCGAGCCCGAACACGAGTTCAGATTCGAGGTGGATTTTGGCGCAACAGTGAAATTAAAGGTTCGTAACCGACAAAAGACTCGGGATTTCAGGAAGTTTTTATTTCTATTGCAGAATATATGTAAAATAAAAATATCCATGTATCTTTGCTGACCCTCATGAAATAAATGTAATAAACTATGTTGAATAGTTGTTTTGTTGCAGAAATGTTGAAACGTGTTTCATGCAATATAAAATTTAACGGTCATAACTCGGAAACATAAATTGCTTCTTTTTTATAGCTGATCACTGGCACTGCTGAAATATACGGTACAGAGATCGGAATAGGTCCTGAATATGAATTTTCAGGCCGCAAAGTAGCCTTGTTTACTTGGCATGGTTGTAAAATAGAGATATCCGTTTTTGCGTTTTCTTTCTTTCGTTTAAAGAAATGGAAAATATTATCTTAACGAATTCCTTGTGGATCGTTGATTAATGTGTAATACATCAAGGGAACTTGTAGTGTAGAGTATGTTGAAGGCGAAACACCGATGGTTAGCTACCTTAATATGCACCTGGCACTCGAACAATGCAGGGAAGAGGCCAAAGCTAAGGAGGAGATGGGACCAAGGGTGAGGGGAAAGATCGTTGATCTTGGATGCAATCTTTGGGTTTTCCAATTGCTTACTGAACCATTAATCCTTTAAAAGGTAATGATTGTTGGCCCCGAAGACGTCGGAAAGACTTCATTAAGCAAGATATTACTTGCGTACGCATTTCGTCAAGGAAGGCAGCCTATATTTGCTGATCTGGACACCAGCGAGGCAAGTATGAATCGAATGGCCATTGAAGTTTTGCAAACTTTTTTTTTTTAACTAATTATTGCTGGATTGCACAGGGCTCCATCACAATGCCTGGAACCATCACCGCAACCGTGATTAATCAAATAATAGATGTCGAAGAAGGATTTGGTTCCTCGACGACAACTTCACCATCACTGGGCTCTTCGATGATCCCGATAGCCTATTACTACGGATATTCTGATGTTGGGGAAAACATCAAGCTTTACAAAGTGCTGACAGCAAAATTAGCTCAGACGGTTAAACTTCGTGCGGCCAACGATGAAGATGGTGTGTACGTGTGAAATTATTTGATTCATGCCTTAAGACATTTGCTGACAACACTCGACCTCTCTTCATACATAGCCAAAATTTCAGGGATAGTAATTGACACCAGCGGTTTGATAGATAACACTGGATACGAAATTATCCAACATTGCGTAGAAGTATTTGATGGTATCTGATTTTCTGTTCTCACGAATTCTTCGCCGATTCAAAATATAACATAAAAAAAATTTTTTTTAGTGAACATCATTATCGTTCTGGGTCATGAAAGGTTGTATAGCGACATGGCAAGACTTTATAAAGAGCGTTCCGAGATTCACGTCTTGAAATTAATTAAATCCGGCGGGGTGAGTTGCATTCAAGTAGTGATATTGCTTGCACATCAGCGACCCCCGTCATAATTAAGTTAATACAATTCCTTAGGTCGTTGGTAGAGACAAAGCATTTCGCCGCCAAATTCAAATGCGCAAGATTCGTGAATACTTTTATGGTCTACCGAAATTTGAACTTTCTCCCTATTCCACGACAATTAACTTAAATGAAGTGTCCATCTATCGAGTGGGGGTTGGTTCGCATCAATTTATCTTTTTTGTAAGGTGTCCTTCCTCTTTTTCCTGCTCTTTTGATTGGTCATAATTATTTTACTAGGGTCGTTGGCGCCTTCTTCTGCCTTGCCGATTGGTATTGACAGGAAAGTCAGCGAGACGCAGCTGGTGAAGGTAGAGCCGGATGACTTGATACGTCACTCGATATTGGCGCTCACATCTTCGAATAGTGCTGACGAGCGTAGCTTACTCGAATCGAACATAATTGGATTTATACGAGTGTATTTATATTTAATTATCTTTCGAATGAATCCTCATTGAAATTTTATTTATCGATTATTTCGTATGCACTTTTTTTT